AGGAAAGCAGAGCGAGGGAGCCAAAAGCCTACAGCAGCTGCTGTCCCCAGGCATTCTCCCGTCCAAGCCGCCCTAACCAGGCCGACCCTCTGGACGTCCAGACAGACAGACGGCAGTGGTGTGCCGGCGAGAGGAGCCCATCACAGCGTGACGCGAGTGTCCCCACGGCTCAGGTGTGGCAGCTCTGTGCCAGGCGCGCCAGTGCTCGAGGCGGGGCCTCCGGAGGAGCCTGGCAGGACTGTGTGCACGGTTAACCCCAGCTGCAGGCAGGGGCCGGGGCGTCCCGGGGACTGTCTTCACACCAGCCTCCTCCTCGCAGGCTCCGCCCCTGCCTTCCCGGCCAGCACGGTGACCGGCTTTCTCCCGCGATGCTCCCCTGGCACGCTTCATCCCCTGGGCCTCGGGAGCCACGGGCCCAGGCAGCCACGGGCCGAAACCTTTCCTCCTTTAGAACCGCTCTTGTCAGGGATTCCGTCGTGATGGAAAGCTGGCCAACACAGAACCCAAGGAAGATATTATAATAAGTAAATCATTTATCAAAAGCCATTATGAAAATTTGGAATTGAATGAAACAATTTTACTGCCTAATGGAGTCAGTTGCCCAGGTGGCACTTCCTGTTGCCTTCCTGGTACTTCCGTCTCCTGAAAGGGCTGTTCCCTGTGATGCGCGTTATGAGAACCAATCAGTAACCACCAAATACTCTGCCTCTACCTCCTGCTTGCTTATCCCACGGAAGCCCCAGACTACCCAGGGTCAGGGCCTGATATTCTGGGAATGACCAGCGCCCATCGACGTACAGTAAGTCTGCCTGCAAACCCTGGGTGTCGTTTTTGGCGTTCCCACCTGCCGCTGCATCAACAAAAAAGAGACTAAGATTGTCTTGATATTTTCGAGGGCTTTAAGTATTCACTATTTCCAAAGGACAAAGGGTTATCATGGTGAATGTAGAAATGTATTATAAGTTGTGTGGTGTCTAGGCACCATCTCTCCTTCCTAACAGAAATATGAGAATGAATACTTCTGACTATAAATTTAAAACCTAATAAGCAAAAACCCAACTTTCCAGGCCAGGCATGGAAGCGCACACCTGTAATCTCAGCACTCAGGAGGCTGAGGCAGGAGGATCTTTGCAAGTTGCGGACCAGCCTGGGCTACAAAGTATAGTGAGACCCTGTCTCAAAAAGACCAAAAAAATGAAAAATAAAAAAAATAAAAACCAACTTTCCCGGTTTTGTTATCAGATGGCAGGCAGCAGGCTGGGCTTGTTGCTCAGTGGTAAGGGATTTGCCCAGCACGTGTGGAGCCCTAGGTTCAACTGCCATTGGCGGGAACAGGGGGCAGAAAGCACTTTCAGGTTTTTTCTGGTTTTGTTTTGTTTTGTTTTGTTGGTCTTTTTGAGACAGGGTCTCACTATGCAGTTCAGGCTGGCCTTGAGCTCACTTCGTAGCCCAGGCTGAACTCACAACGATCCGCCTGCCTCAGCCTCCTGAGTGCTGGGATTACAGCAGTGCGCCACCACGCCCGGCAAGTTTAGAACGTTGTCTAAAAGCATTCATTTCTGCTCTCACTTAAGTATGAATTTAATTCTGTTCCCAGCTCTTCACAGAACATACCTCGGAAGAATAAATGGTATCCGAAGATTTTTTTATCAAAAAAGAATTTACCATCTCTAAATAGGAAACTTTAATTTTACCCCTAGAGTTTCTGCACGTTAAAAACAGTAAAATGTTAAAAAGGGTCTGTCTCCAACAGAACGTAAGGCCCCTAGAGCGCAGGAGGCGCATTCTGCCTCAGGCACTCCCCAGCACCTCGTGGGACCAGTGATAAATCAACAGCTTTATAGGCGGCCCTCTGAATTCAGGCTTTTCAGTCTCGCCACGTTTCTTCCCATTGACGGTGTGAGAGGACACCACCACTGGTCTGCAGAGCTCTCTGTGGCGGAGGGGTTGGGTGGCGTGGAAACAATCAAGGGGCACCTGGGCTTCTGGATGAAGGAGAGTTCAAGACAAAGACCGCACTGAGCTCTCAGCACCTTGGACTGTGGGTGAAATGGTCCACAAACCAGGACCTGATCGCTCCTGAAGTCCCTCGAACCTTTGTAAGGTCTATAGAAAATGCAAACTGCTTTGTGTAACTGTGTTTCTTTCAGAAAATATTAAGCATCAAGTCTACGTGGTGGACACGGGGCAAAGTGGCACTGGCCCCCGGGCCCGGGACGCCCTGAGCCAGCGCAGGTGGGGGCTTTGGGGTCTCCTGTGGATCTCAGCAGACAGGGACGCCCTCCACCTCATGTATAAACAAAACCACTCTGAACGCTGCGCACCTAGGCATTCGTAAACGTGCAACAGAGTCAAACGAAGAAGAGTGCAAAACCTTGGAAATAACTTTGGTATTTAAGAAGAAACGGACACTGGAGAATGAAAGTGTTCATTTCTCAAAGCAAAGGGTATTCGTTCTGCCAAATGTCTGCAGTGATTTGGGCTCGAAAGCTCCAATTTTCATGTGATGCCATCAGTCTATTCTTCAAAATACGCTCTGTAAGGCTGCCCAAGGGAGCACTTGACCACCTCCACCTCCCCACCCCCATTCCTCCCCAGCTGAAAGTGGATGTTGATGAAATCCTCCACGGTCTCTTCATCGGTCCGAACGTGTTCCATCCCGGTCAGGAGCACCGTCCTCTTCGATACTCCTGAAAATATCTAAGGAAGAAGGAAAAAGACAAACAGAAAAATTTCTAAAAGCTCTGAATACAAAATTCTACCTTCCAAAGCGGTGCACAGTATTCTGGACAGGAACTTTAAGGACAGATTTAAAGTTCCTTCAGCCCAGGAGAGACGGGGACCCTTAGGGGGATTTTTCAGGCCAGAGAACATCAAGAGTTCTGTCTGATTTCCGTATCAAAATAGTCTTTATAACCAGGCACGGTGGGCGCATGCCTGTAATCCCAGCACTTGGGAGGCTGAGGTAGGAGGATTTTTGGGAGTTTGAGGCCAGCCTGGGTTACAAAGTGAGCTCAAGGCCAGCCTGAACTGCACAGGAAGACCCTGTCTCAAAAAAGGAAAAAAAAAAAAAAAAAAGGAAGTGAAGAAACTAGGTATTTCCTCACTGTTCCTCACTGATGAGATTCAAATACTGACAGACTCAAAACCGTTTCTTTATCTTTTGTGGGGTTGGTCTGGGCAGTGAAATCTCAAAATGAAAAAAGCACGGCTCTTCAAATTCAGAATGGTGACCCACCTCAAACTTGGCAGGGTGGCCGTCATCACAGCAACCTGGAAGGCTGAGGCAGGAAGAGCCCAGGAGTTCGAGACCCCGTCTCAAAAACATAAAGGACTTTACCTGATACTTTTGCAAGCGTCTTTCTGTGTACGGAGAAACAAGGACCCTGTGGCAGCTCTGGTTTATGTAAAGAGGGAAGTCTTTCTTTTTCAAAATCCTGTCAGCAACTAAGAGTAAACAAAAGAACATTTTAATACCATAAACATTGTTATCTACAGTTAAAAACTTTTCCAGTAAGATTTAATATCATGGTAAACACTGAATGTAGGGAGTAATTTCTAAACATTTCTATGGTCCACACTGAAAACTTCACAGTTCGTATTTTTGAAAAACACAAGACCAGACAATCAGTTGAAACAGTTCCTCTGTCTTTGAGTATTCACTGCAGCCAACCACAGGGGCTGCAGCCCTCAGACGGACCCCCTCGAGCCACGCAGAATCCAGCCGCCGCCCTCATCCTCGTGGGAAAGACTTGGCCACTGCAGCCTCCACGTTCAGTCGGCTGACATAACGATACCCGCCAAAGAAGGAGGGGCACTGGACGTCACCTGGGAATTGTGAAGGTAAGTATCACAAATTCTTTAGTTTTCTCAGGCTGGGGATATAACTCAGAGGCCTAAGCACCTGCCGGGCAAGCACAAGGTCCTGAGTTCAATTCCCGGTCCCCCCAAAAAAAAATTCTTTCGTTTTCTCAATTACAAGTAATAATCTGATTTATTTTTAGCCGTTTTTTTTTTTTTTTCTCCTAGACTGGGTAACAGCAGTGTGTCAAGACTGAGTAACATTTCAAGGAAACCATCCTTGAGGATATCCAATCACCCTTTCGTGAAAACTTCCCTCTTTAGTCCACCGGGGTCAGCGCAAGGAACACCGGCTAACGGTTCAGGCCTTGTGAAGATGTGGAGGCTGGAGCCTGCACCGTTGCTGGTAGGAGCACAAAATGGCACAGCAACAGGAGAAAACAGCCTCGCAGTTCCTCAAAACACTGAACATAAAATCACTGTGTGACCCAGCAATTCCCCTGCTAGGCAAACACTCAACCGAGAGCAGGGACGCAAACACGTAACTGCACGCAAATGTCCACAGCAGTTATCTACAGCAGCCGAAGTGTGTAAGCAGCCCAAGTGCCCTGCAGCGGAGGAGTGGATAAATGAGATGTGTGCAAGACACCCACACACACACACACACACAATGGCACAATGGGATACGGTTCAGTCTTTAAAAAATAAAATGTTGATACATGCCACAAAGTGGACAAACCTTGAAAACACTACACTGGACAAAATAAGCCAGACACAGAAAGGACAAAGACCGCACGGATCTGCTTAGATGAGGGACTCAGGAGGTGGCTCACGGTGCTCACCAGCAGCCGCAAGAAGAGAAGGTCCTCAGTGTTACTCAATGGTTTTGGAGTTTCAGCTGGGAATCATGAAAAAGTTTTGGAGATGGGTAGTGGTGATGGTTGCACAACTTTAGGAATGCACTTAATGCCACTAAATTGTATCCTTAAAGTGGTAAATGTTTTATGTATATTTTATAAAAGCTGTCAAAAAAAAAAAAGTTGAAAGCCAGGCATGGTGGTGCACGCCTATAATCCCAGCACTTGGGAGGCTGAGGCAGGAGGATCTGTTGCAAGTTTAAGACCAGCCTGGGGTACAAAGTGAGCTCAAGGCCAGCTTGAATTGCATAGCGAGACCCTGTCTCAAAAAGACAAAAGAAGTTGAAAAATAAAAGGACTATAGGCCCTGAGTCAAAGGGGCTCGCTTCAGTACTGGCTCTGCTGTTGATCAGCTTTGTGGCCTTGGGTATCTCGCCTGAGTTTCTGAAACATGTTTCTTTTCCTGCAAAATCAGTGTAATTACAGCACGTCAGAAGTGGCTGTGGTGAGTTCCTAAGACACAGTGTGTGAAGCATCTGGGACACCTATCGTCTGACACCTTCAGATCCTTCAGAAGTCACCCACCACAGTCACCAAAACTATTGTTACTTCCTTCTGGTTAAACACAGCCTCTAGGGCAGTGACAGCGAACTTTTTAGAGACGAGTGCCCGAACTGCAAGCCAAAACCCACTTTATCACAAAGTGCCAACACGGCAATTACACCTGAACACTGAGGTTTTAGTTTAGAAAAAACAACTCGTACATTAACATGTTTTGTCTCAAAAGAAAAATGGCGCATGTGCTGTACGCTCCCCACACTGTCCAGGAGGACGTCTCCGGACGTGATAAAAGCACAGGCTTCCGAGCTCCTACATCTCCCACCTCAGGGTTAAACTGCATTCTGAGTTTAAGTTACTCTGCCATGGATTTTTTAAATACAAAAAATTGATTGTCTAATATCAAACAAACTGAGCACACAAATTTGGAAAAACGTCTAGATCCTTGAAGTGTCCACCAAATTACTGCCCCCTCTAAGATAATACACAAAGGCAGCACTCCAGACCGCCCCCTCACGGCTCCTTCTGACTGTAACACCCCACCACGACAGCCTGTACGGCACGCAGACCCGGGTTACATGCGTGCATACTGATGTGCTTATGCGTGTCCAGAGAAAAGCCTGGAAAGATACCCAATGAACCATACTAATTACGTAGTAGGAGGAAATGTCGTGCTTATGCGTTATTGTAATTTTCCTTTAAAAGCACGTTATTACCTTGCTATGAAAAATCTAATCAGTCGGTGTTTTCTAACTGTATACAGTGGTACCTCGGTTCACAAACTTAAGTCTTCCCATGATTTTGTTCGCAAACCAAACTAGACGAGAACCAAATCAAACTTCCCCGTAAAGCCAGCGTTGAACCTAACCATCGGATTCGACTGGTTTCTCACCCACTTTGGTGTGTGACCAGAATCACGGAAAGAAGTAAGTTCATGAACAGAGGACTCCCGTGTTCGGGGGAACCGGCTCGGCCGTAAGCTCCACACTCACCCTCGACTGGATTTTTATAGTATGTGTAAACGCAGAAGTCCTAGAACTTTATTATCTAGAGAATTTTACACTGAGAACCACTGCAAACTACACAACAAAAGCAGCTGTCAAATCCTGTACTGTATTTCAACCGTAAGAACGGAAACTTTCCCATGTGACTGGGTGAACGTCCATTGCTACACCTGAGAACAACAAGGGCCCGGTCAGCCTCCTGTCAGCCCCATCTTCCTGGGAGGAATTCCTCTACCACAGACCTTCGTTAGTAACAACAGCTGAGATGGAAGGGGCAGTCTTTTTTATTATATTTGTTATTTATGCCATAATTTATATTAAATACAACATTTAACCACGGATAGTAAATATGCACGTAAATTGCCCGGTCACACGCGCACGTGTGCTGGTGGGAATGTGACGTATCTTCTCTAAGCCTCTGGTTTCACTTCAGTGATCTGAATGTGTCACCACCTGCAGGCTGGTGAGGATCAGGTAAGGGTGTGCGCAGACGTCTGCTGCCTGCCCGCTTGTGATCCTGGGCACTAGGATGCGGGGAGTGGCTACTGCAACAGTATTAACATTCTCAGGAGCACTTGAGGACATTATTTCCCGGTTCTATCCTTTCATCAGGCGAAGAAGCTGGGCGTGGTGGCACACTCCCGTAATCCCAGCTCTGGGGAGGCTGAGGCAAGAGGATCGCTGCGAGTTTGAGGCCAGCCTGGGCTACAAAGTGAGCTCGAGGCCAGCCTGAACTGCACAGCGAGACCCTGACTCAAAAAGACCAAAAAAAAAAGCTAAGAAAGATCTCTATGATGCTAACACATTTCAGATAAGAGTAGAGTAGAAGTACTTTCAGAAACGGCAGGGCATGGGCGCAAAGCCAAGAGCCTGCCAACTGGCACGGGCGAGTACCTCCAGGCTCCACAAAGGTGACCACGGCGCTCCGCGACTGCTTGTCGTAGGCCACGCTCTCGACCTCGCCGCCTCCACGCCGCGACTTGCCGAACCCCAGCTCCAGCTTGTCCCGCATCTGGTCTTCAGGCAGCCCCAGGCCATCGGGAATCTCAGTAACGGTAATCTTCACTTTGGAGACGTCCACGTGAACCTGGGAAGCGGTTCCGCTTTAGAAATGTGGACGAGGGCTGTGCCCACGTTCCGCGGAACCCCGAAGCTTTCTGGTGGCCCTGTTACCTGGAATCGGACCCCCGTGCTCAGGGGAACCGGCTCGGCCGTGAGCTCCACGCTCTCACCCTCCAGCTGCACTTGGTGCTTTCCCATTTTTATCACATTCTGTGCCACTGAAAAATAGTTCGGGAAGTATTCATTTCCAGTATTTTGAGAGACATATGCTTTTCTTTAAGGAAAAAATTAGCCTGAGAGATCAGAATTTTGCTTAATTTTAAAGGATCTAACTTTAATCACTTCTCAGCCTTCTGGCTAAGATCCAGTGTAAAGGATCTAATTATAACTCTCTTTCTTGGGATTTCCACATGGTAAGGACCTTCCCAGAAAGGACTTACTCATGTTACAGGGGGGGGCTGGGGATTTAGCTCAGCGGCAAAGCGCCTGCCTGGCAAGCGCAAGGTCGTGAGTTCGGTTCCCGGTACCGGAGAAAAACCAAAACAAAAAAACAAAACAAATCATGTTACAGGGCCTCCGCAAGGATGACGGCAGGAACACTCATCACCGTCTGGCTCATCTTAGGAAATGAGTGCCTCCTCTTATCTCTTAAGAGATTAGACCAATAATCTGCCAGAAATTCATCCAACCACACATCCTTTCTTTCCTTCCTTTCCAGTGCTGACAGCACTACCACAGAATTCCTAAGACACGAAGGCCCCGCCAGAACTTCTTCCATGCTGAGTAAGCCAGGAAAACTTTTGTGGGCCAGTGTCATTTTTACAATTACTTTTAGTTTTATTTAATGTTATCATTTGTTAGACATTCATACATTGCCAGCACTATAGAAAATACCTACTCATTTTTGTCTTCGCCTTCCGAGGGTAACATGCTGGAGACCGTACAGCTTACACACCAAGGAGTGAGGGCGTCTTGTTCTGTTTGCCATGTTTAACAAGGAATTCTAATGTCTGCTAACATGCTCTTGACATGCTTCAAAAGGTTGAGAGCTGGGCTATACCACTAACAAAGCTGTCGAGTGTAATTTAGCCACACAAATAAGAGATGCTTAGTATTACAACTATGCCAAAAGGCACTGAAAATTCAGAAAGCAAATATATGTCAGTTTTAAACGTGTTTGGGGTTCTTTCTAATTGTGTAACTCGGTTTTGTAAGTGTTCGGCTGTTGCTTGGAGCTGCTTCCCCTGACTTATCGTGAAGATAAGCGCTGTTTGCGCTCTGCCTTACAAATCCCATTGTGTTTATGACACAGACCACCCCACAGCGGGCGGGGGCGGGGGGGAGGGGAGCCAGCTCCAGGCAGGGCGCGGCCCGGGAACTGAGGCTCGCTGCGCCAGTGGGACTCGGAGGCTTGTGTGGGTTTTTTCTTTTCACTAATGGCAACAGATGACACTCACAGACAACATCAGTGAGGTAACGCGGAGAGGATCCTCCTTCCCCCGGCTCTGCCCAAGGCCCCTGCAGCTGCCGCAGAGAGGGACCCCTTCATCTCAGCCTCTGATTCTCACCATCAGACGCCCACTCCCACGTAACCGTGACTGGATCTAGCAACAGACCAGGATCTCAGGGCCACGCCAGGGACGGCAGCAGTGCCGCAGCTGTTTCTGAAGGGAATTCTAACTCCAGTTTGGCAGGCCCCCGCTGTGCAGAGACCCGGCTCCCGAGTCTGCAGTTACACCCCGAGTACCACCGCCCTCTGCTGATGCGGCTCCAGGGCGCCTTCTGCCTCTCGGCTCTAGTGGTGGCTCAGGGTAAGGGAAGGCACACTGGGGGCACCGCCTCATCTCCCTAGGCTGACTTCCTGAAATGCCTTCCCTTTTCACGGCTGCTATCAGTCTACCGGGATGGATCAGGAGTCCGGAGAGCGGGTTCTCACTGTGCGCACTGGAATGGGTCTGCAGACCAGCCGGCCCCCCAGGACTCCTGCAGCACTAGAACGGAGCCCGGGCTGGGCGTGCGCAGGGCACGCTGGTCCAGGACAAAGCACGCAGGCTATAAGCGCCGTCGGCTCCCAGCTCTGTGATTCTGTAACTGTCAGCACCTTGAGCGAGTGACTTCGCGCTCACACTCCCACCTCCTTATCCGGAACGTCTCTAACGTGGAGAGGTAACAACAGCTAACATCTACAAGGTGTTTACTGAACCCTCAGACACTGTTCCGATAGCATTTCTCATGGAAAGCCCAGAGCACAGCGTGAAGTAAGGACGGCCACAAAGCCGGTCAAAAAGCTGAGGCTTGCAAAGAACTCACTCCAAATCATGCCTCAAAGAAGAGACGAAGCTGGCAGCCAAAGCCAGAGCATCCCCATGAAAGCACCCCAGCCCTGGACACGGGCTCACACGGTGACAGACTCCGTGAGCCACAGGTCCCAGCCCAGACCTCCCAGCCTCTGTCAACTCGCTCGCCACCTAAGTGCCCTGACGTAAGCCGCTTCCACGTCCTCAGAATCCATTTATGTGGCTACAAAATGTAAGTCACACCTCCCCTACTCTACCCTACTGTGTTTATGAAGTGGTGAGTAGAAAAGGGACAGTATCTGTGAGAACACTTAGAGGACTCAGAGTTCTGCTACCTTACAACATTACTGCGATCCTCACTCGGAGGCAGACTGGAGCAGAAAGAGGCTCTCTTTAATCTCAGAATCATGGCTTTCTGGATGAATGACAACCATTACATACTTAAGAGTTCGTTTTCTACAGCTCAGAGGCGCAGCGCCTGCCTGGCAGGTGCAAAGTCATGAGTTCGATTCCCAGTACCAAAAGAAGAGAAATAAAGAGTTCATTTTCTCAAATCTGCCTCAGAGTACCACTACGAAAATGAGAAGAAACAATAGATGTAAAAACTGTAAAAAGCAATAGTCAAATATCTATGAAATTTACATTGCTGTATACTCAAAGATTTGTTTTATTAATATGCAATAAAGGCTTAGAAATTTTGTAAAAAAGTATCTATGAAAGGTCTTGCAAAGTGCAAGTGGTTTCCAAAAAACGACATGGTCATATGTTTAAGGTTAGTCATACCTTCTTCCTTTTCAAAGGTGATAAGTGCTTGTCCTTTCTGCAGCTCATAAGATACTTGTGAGCTCACTTGAAATGAACAGGAGATATTTAAAAACTGGCTGTCATTCTCAGGATTCTCTAATGACGAGAATTTTATCTGTGTCTCGGGAATATCCTCCTTAATCTATTTCAAAAAGAAATTTTTGGTTAAAACCAAAGAAGTAACTTGCGTCTTTCCAGTGACAATGTGACGTGGTCATCCAGCAGTTCACTCGAGAACCTCACAGAACACCAACTCCACGTGGTCTCAGGCAACACCTACAGTCTCTGCTTCTTCCCTGCAAACACTCAGAAATGTACTCAATGCGGATCCTTTAACAGCATTTCCCAGAGCAAAGCTGAAGTATACAATCCTCTCACTTTGTCTGATCAGTGTTTAAACTGGTCAGTAATAGCCGGGCATGGTGGCACACGCCTGCAATCCCAGCACTCGGGAGGCTGAGGCAGGAGTATCGTTGAGAGTTCGAGACCAGCCTGGGCTACAAAGTGAGCTCAACGCCAGACCCAGTCTCAAAAAGACAAAAATAAATAAATAAGTAAATAAATAATAAACTGGTCAGTATTGTACACTGTTGTATTCTAAAGCTTGTATTACTCATGAAGCTAAGCAACTGTGCCAATAATCTACCGTGTCATAAGAGAATAATTAGTATGCTTAATTTCAATACAAAAAATTATGAAACATATACCTAGGTAGACTATGGTTACTTTTATGGAAAAACTCAGGTAACTTCATCTGAAAGCAAAGACTCCTGAATTATAGGATATAAAATTTATCAAATTTAGATTGCACTTTCAACAACACCCGCCCATCGACTTTTTAACTATTTTTTTTTTCATAACCATTAGGTTAACCATTTAGGTTTATTAGAAAGTGCAGAGAGTGCTGGGTATGGTGGCACATGCCAATAATCCCAGCTCTTGGGAAGCTGAAGCAGGAGGATCCTTGCAAGTTCAAGACCAGCCTGGGTTACAAAGTAACCTCAAAGCTAGCCTGACTGGTAGTGAGACCCTGTCTCAGAAAGATTAAAAAAAAAAAAAAAAGTGAAGAGATATGACCAAGACTTGTAACTTGTAGGATAAAGTTAGACAGTTATACTTAACTGTTTAAAACCACTGAGGTTTTCCTACCATGTTCAAGGCCCTGGGTTTGACCACAAAAACTTAAAAAAAGTCACTAGAACTGACAGACATAAATGACCACTCAGAAAGGCACACATCAGTCAAGTGCTAACGTTTCTATTTCTCGTGGCTTTTTTACATTTCTGTTCCTTACACTTACTTTACATGCTGAAATAGAAGGTCTTCTCACAAGAAGATGAGAAGCATTCACTAAACTACTGAATCATCTAATCTGTAAAACGTCTGTCTTCACACACAACTTCAGACGATTTCTGACAGGGTAACCTAATGGTGTCTCAAAATAAAAACAGTTAACATAGGGCCGGGAATGTAGCTCCTTGGTTCAACCCTCAGCGCTGTGTCAGGGGTGGCAGAGGGTGGCGGGGGTCGGGGGACATTCCGTAATTAAATTACTTTTCTGAAAAGCACCTGTCCGTAAAAATGCGCGATACAAAATCACTAGCGTACCTGGAAGTCTTTGGTGGCCCCGTCTAACTCAGCTTCAAGCTTCTGGATCACCTCCTGCAGCTGAATATTTTCCTTTCTAATTTCATCAAGTAACTCCTAAAAAAATCACACGGTACCCAAAAAAATTAAACAGC